TACATGCTCTGAGGAAAAAAAAAATCACCTCTTTGACTGATAGAAGAGCACAATTTGCAAAGCTTCGACTGGTTGTGTTTAAAGCACTGAGGTGGACTGCTTCTGAAGGCAGGAGGCATTTTTCTAGTGTCTGTTACATGTCTATCAATATAGAGTTGTTTTCAGACTTGTTCAAGAACAGAACAGAATCCATAGTTTAAACACACTATACAATTGAATGTTATCACCAATTTCTTCAATTTCATTAAGAAGCTCTAGAATCCTACTGCAAACCATTAGTCTTATTTCATTATCATGTCATGTGTTCACAGTATTAGTGTATGCATAGAAGTGAAGAAAATACTGTAAGGTTCTGAAAGAAAAAAGTGTGTACCTGTGCATGTCTCAAAGTTATGCCTAGCTTATTATTTTATTCAGTTGGTGGGAATGGGAATTCTTTGGCAGAATAATGTATTTACTGTTTTAATGTGAACACAAGCTTAAAAGCTAGAAAATTCATTTTTGGGACAAAAACTGCTGACACAACCACTTAGCAGTATTTCTTGTTCTTATAATTATCATATTATACATTACATAGTTTTATGACTTATATATGTTATAAAGGATGAAGATTTAGATTAATCTTAGATTAGAAAAGGTACTAAACCTAAATTTATGTACTTTTCTAATTTTTTAGTTTACCTTTAATATTAAAGAAAGGTGAACTCTAATTTCAATCACGTGTGAAAGATATTGAATTATTACCTTCCTTTGAGGAAACTGAGGCCAGTAAGAAACACAGTGAAAAAAATCAAAAAAGAGGAAAGATAAAATGTCAGGTGAAAGACAAATATGCTTGAACAAAATTCTACTTTTACATATGTGGGCACATCTACACGGGGACATCAGTGTGCTAGGTTATGTCGTGTTCCAGTTCCTCTTTAATGTACATTAAGACAGAAATAATTTGCCCTATACTGAATGTCAACTCAGCTGCATCACACAAAAGTACTTCTAGGGCTAACATATGGGAGTGACATCTCATTTCTGAGAAATAAGGGAGTGTGTGAAATTAGAGGACATTGCCCTCACTACACTGAGACCCTCACACACCCTGCTCCTGATGGCCCAGTTCACCCATGAACCCACTCGTGCATTGACTCAACAACAAACAGCACCTCATATACAGGATCTAGAGCTTCTCAGGAGCCAAGGCCATTAGCCCTACCTCTGTGCAAGGCTCTGAAGTTAACAGGCCTCTCTAAGCACCAGGTTGTCTCCATGTACATCCTTGTGCCTCTTCCATGTCACTTTGTAGCTGAGCTCTTGCCAGATCAGCCAAGACACATGGCAGTCTGACTTCTACCCGACACTCAGAGTTTCATAATTGGGTCAGGAAAACAGGGAGAAGTATTTTAATTAGTCAACCTGCCACTCCTTCGTACTTGATGTTCTGTGCATGCCTCCTACACAGACATTTCTTATGGATCAGTTCATGCCCTGCCTTGCCTATGTTCTGGCTTGACTTGACTCACTCTAACCTCCCTAGACAGCCAGTCCTTTAGTACTAAAAAAGACAGCTCAAGAAGGGTGTGAGTGTGCTCTGGTTGCTATATGAGGTGACGCACAGACTTGCAGGCTCAATATCCGTGTCCTGCTAACACGATCCATCACACATGGCTCACGAACACCTGGTCTGCGGCCAGGACAGCGTGAGTACGGAGTACATGTGTGCACCTGTCGTGTGGTCAGAGCTAAAAGTACCCACAGGGAAAGGTGGCAGGGAGTTGCCAGCAAGATTTAAATGAACATTTTAACTTTCTGTTCAGGAACTTGGAAAGATAGGTAACTCATTACATGACTTTAATTGAATAGGCTACTTGCTGACTTTGCTAAAATTGGGAAACCAATATGGCCCATATCACAGCAGAGCACTCCCCTGAGAGTGTTCTGCTCTTCTGTAGCACATACTGGTTGCAAAGAGAAAGGGAATAAACCCTTTTCTTTTTTTTTACCTCTTTTGAGCAACAAAAGTAAAAGAAGCAGGGTCTTACACTGCAGCCAGAGATAAACTCTCTAATGTAAAGATCATTGAGTAATGGAGTAGACTGCCCAGGGAGCTGTAGTGTCTGCCTCACTGGGGTTTTTTTCAGGAGGTCATAACACAGCCGTCTGTCAGGGATGATTTATATATAACTTATTCTGCCTTGGAACAGGGGATAGACTAACTAACCTTTTTGGATCCCTTCCAGACCAGTTTTCTGTGATTCTCCATGCTAAGATGCTTCTCTAGATATGAAGTATGCTTTTACATATTGTATTTCTTTTGTATTCAGATGGAAAAACCCTTAAGTCTTGTAATTTATCTTTTTCCTGACACCAATTCCATTTCATTAAGCGTAATGACAGTTTAATGCACATTTCTTCATCCTATATATACAGTATTATCATTCATCTGTAACTCTACAGTACTGGAACATAGTCACCCTCAGCTTTCCTTTTAATCTGAAGTTCAAAGCTCTGCCAGAGTCCAGGATTAGGACTCTGCCCAAATCTGTCAAAACTGTAAAGGTGAAGGATAGAGCTGATCATGTACTGAGACAATTATTTACATGTTGTTGTTTGAAGCTGGCAATTAAAGCCAAGCTGAAATATAAGAAGAAACTGTGGCTCAGCCAAATGAGCATAAAGTAATCCACAAGCAGCTTTTTGTACTGACTGGATGAACACTACCACATGATGGACTGCAGCATCTTTGGCAATGACCCTGTTTTTCTCATCCACAACAGCATAGGACTAAGCCCAGTGATTCAGTAGGTCATCTTAAATTGTTTGTCCTGACTGCACAGTGAGATAGGCAAAGGCAGACTGTTTCAACTTAGTAATTTCTAATGTTGTCAAAGATGTCTTGAGAGCAAAAATAAATTCTGTATTAATGCATAGTGCCATAGGCAACACATCCAGCTCATTACCTTCTTCAAAGGCATTCAGGCCTTTTTAATGGTAATTATCAGTTTCTGTTGACTGTTTAGTAATCCTGTCTCAGCTTTTCTCTGTTGTTCACAGATTAACTTGTGTTAGACATTTAATAGACTCTCCTTTATGTTATACAGTTATACACTCAGAACATCTTTTGCAAAGTTAGTAAGAATCAGATTTTACTTGCTACTCAGATGTTATTTTGTAAACAAGATGTCCTGGCAGATTCTTCTGTGCCGTTGAAATAGTTCTAATATGTTGACAAATTAATTGATGACACTATAGTGGAGTGTTTTCTGCTCAAAATCTCTTGTCACTGCCATGCACATAAATTATCTTTACATACTTTCTGTTAAGAGACATAACCAAGTAAGCTATTCTTCACCATAAACCAGCCCCAACTGTTTTCTTTTAAAGCATACAGATGATCTGTGAGCTATTTCATAGAAGAACATGCTAAGGATATTACGTTAAGAGTACTCAATATAAGTACTGTTCATGAAACATCTAATATATCTCTCCACTTTATTTATGATTAAAATAGGTGTATATGCATGTGCATATGTATGCTTAGAATTTAGAAAAGTCTTTTATTATGCTCGTCTTGTTGAAAATAACAGGAAAGGGAGCAGAGTTGAACTCATTGGTGTGAACTCATAGCATTAGCTGAGTTTTTAGCTTCAGTCAATACCAAAATACTAGTGCTTTACCTTTTTCCCCATTATCTCATCTGATTGTAATGAGACCTTTTCATTTTCTGGTCCTTGATATATAGGGGAACTGCTGAGGTCAGAAACAATCTTCCCCTACCTACCACCTCTCCCCTACTGCAGGCTGAAGAAAATTAGAGCCAGAACATGTTTATTAGTGCTTGTTCTTGCTCCTTCTCCTGCTCAAGATTGTATCAGGTCCCTAGTACCTCTTCTCAAAGGCTCGTAATACTTGATGTCAAGTGGGAGAAAAGAGAGAGCCTATTTTATATACATGACTCATTAAAGAGGGAGTGTCATTTAAGGTCAGTTGGCAATATAGTGAGATCAATGGATGCATACTTAAAAACAAATAGAACAGGGTCTGGTTTCTTGGAAAGGTCATGGCATACTTTCTAACCATGTGGGTATACTTTCAGCTTTCCAGAGCAGATTGCCTTGCTTACACTGACCTGTAACAGAAATCCTGGTCTATGCCAGTCCCAAGACCACATTCAGGAATTGTGTGGGAAAGATTATTTGCCCTGAACTGAAGCCATGCCAGGAAGCACACTAACAATTTACTTTTTTTTTTATTTGATTCAACAACATGCTGTAATTATGTGATGATTCTTGAGCTAGTTTCCTTGCCCTGTGTTATTGAGTAGTTATGGAGTCAGCTTCTACACATGGCACAAATGCTAGAAGTCACTCTGTAATACTTCAGAATTTGCTCTCCATATTTGCACGGCTTAGTAAAATTTAAAAATAATAATAATCTTTGCAATTTGTATTGTACTACCGGTTCCGAACTTACAGTTGTTTTTCATGAGAAATTGCAGCTGAAATTTGCCAAGAGTTTGCGTTTGATATTATTTACATACTGCCAATAATGTTGAGATTTCTCACACTTCAACATGTAAGAAAAAGACCGAACTACATTCCCCTTTCATTAAGGAAAAACTGAACTACATTCCAGCGTCATCTAATAATTTTGTCTCTCCAAAACGTTTTTCCCTTTCAATTTCTATGAAAATTTTTGACAAATATAATAATAATTCCAGTAAGAAAATAATTTCACCAATGAAATAATTTTTTGTTATTTCAATCTGAGACTTTTACTGTAGTCATCAGTTTTGAAATTAAGGTTGTTAATCTTCAAAGCATAGACACAACATGTGCCAATGCAATTGCATTCTTATTAGTATTACTGAAATGCTCATCACCAACTCATCTTCAAGCTGATAAAGCTTGTGCTTATGCTTTTGTGTGCTTCTATGTTTTTATTTCATTTTCTGCCGTTACGATCTATGTCATAAGCACTAGGAGAGCTTTGGGAATTGGCTGATTTACCTGCTCAGTTCTGAAAGGGCAGAAATTACTTGTCAGGGTTGCTTGGAGAATATCTGTTAAGGAACAGAAGGGATGGAAAAAAAGTGTCAGGTCCCTCAGTACCTAAGACAGTTATTTGTCTCTTATATGTTTTTTAAAAACCCCACAACAATCTAAATCACTTCAAAAGATTAAGGGTGACAAAGAGCAGTTGTTCTTTTTATGATGAACCGGCCTCAATGTAAAAAAAAATTACAACACAAGTGAGCCTTGGGAGCAGAAAAGAACCATGATACACACATTTTGATGGCAGATGTAAGCTACAGAGAACTTTATCCTGGAGTAATTCTATTTGTGTGTATCACTTACATAATGTAATAGTTTGCAATCATTCTAATATTTTAAGGACACTGAGTTTTAAATATATATAGGGTTGAGTTCCATCTTCAAAAAAAAAAAAAAAAGAAAGCTCAATAACAAGCAAAGAGAGCAGTTAGCACCAACCCCTGCATGCTGAAATAGTAGAGCTTTTCATAATGCTGACTTGAGCAATATGAGGCTGAAACTAAGAAATAACAAAGAGAACTGTTAAAATGTTTATTTTTACAGCACAGCTGTCTATTACAAAAAGTGGTCTTTGGTCAAAAACCAAAATGTTCATTTGGAGTATGTTTCTGGTGGGAAACTATTAGATTTATTCAAACTCAAAACACAGCGTTTAGTCTTGATTTCTCTCTACAGTTCCGTCTGAAATCTTAAAATGTATTCCATATATGGGAATTTGTAGATAGTGTTATTACAGCAGACATTATCAAAATTAAACATTTGGACATAACTTCAGAGAAGAAAACATTTTAACATGATGATTTTGATCTTTCCAAATCAAAATTCTCTGGAAAATTTATCTCCTGAGAGAAATTTTAAGTTTTATTATTTAGGATGAAATCATTACAGAGTGTCAGAATTTCCCCCTTAGTGAAAATTTGGGGTTTTAGCCAGCTTCACAGCCACTCACTGTCCTCCAGAGCACAAGTGCCCTGGACCCCTCACCCTCCATCAAGAAGTCTAGAGAGAGACAAGCAGCACTCTCATTAGATAACACTGCTACAACACTATTTTAAGAACAGATTTTAATAGAAGAGACTGTACACCCCTGCAACAGTAGAACTTGCTCGAAAATACATATACAGAATTAAAAATTTTTAAGTTCTGAAAATAAAGAACAAAGATAGTAGAAAAAAGTAGAAACCATTTCTCCATTCATCGCATTGAACAGTTAAACTGCTTATGCTACAGACACCTCTATGAACAAGGTAAAATCCTGTCCCGGGTATTTATAGTCAAGCTCTCTTTGAGCTCCTCTGACATTTTCCAAAGCATAAAATCTTCTCCATTATTTCAATTCAGTATCGGTATTGATCTTGTACTATAGGCAATTCATCCTTTTTACACCATTACTCAACTTGTAAAGAAGTTAAAAATCACTCCAAATCAGAAAATACAATCCAAGCTTGAGAATAAACAAAAGATTGATTTGAAGGTGTAGATCAACCTGCTGACTCCTGCTTCCACTTCTAAATACTAAGGGCACCCTTTGTTGTCTTAGCTTCCTGTTCTCTTTCTGATTTTCAAGTGAAGGAAATGAAACTTTGCCTAGTCTCATTTATTCAAATAATATCTGGACCTCCAAAGTAGGAAGTGGATTTTCATGATTTTTTCCTTACCCAAGTTAAGGGTGTCACAATATAAGAAAAATATAAAGCAATTAGAAAGCATCCAAAGAAGGGCTACAAAGATGGTTAAGGGTCTAGAGGAGAAGCTGCATGAGGAGCAGCTGAGGTCACTTAGTTTGTTCAGCCTGGAGAAGATGAGACTGAGTGGAGACCTCATTGCAGTGTACAACTTCCTCATGAGAGGAAGAGGAGGAATAGCCACTAATCTCCCTGGTGACCAGTGATGGGACCCGAGGGAATGGCATGAAACCGTATGTTTTCTTATGTATTCTTCTAGGCAAACTCAGTGTTTTGTTCCTGATAAGGGGTGCACAGACCTATGTTAAAAAGAAAAAAAAAAGTATTTTTTAAATGTTTGGGAGCCAACTTGTTTAGGTATCCTGGGCTGTGCAAAGGTGATCTGTAAGCAGTATACTTAAAAGTACAAAGCAATGATTTATTAGTCAACTCACATAGAAGCTGGCTAGGATTTCATAGGCTGCTAGGCTAGGCATTAACACCTTCTCCACCCCAATAAGATACTTAAAGATACTTTATTGGTGAGGTGAGGTGAGGATCAGCTGCGGGGGAAGAGAGTCTGCTGCTTTCTTCCAGGGAGCTGGAGGAGAGCTGCTGACTGCTGCTCAGCTGCCCTCATCCACCAGTTCCATCAATACCGACACACCAATAGCACTGACAGCTGGACTAATCCTTATCACCTTTAAGATTTTGCACACTGTTGGGCCAATATTATTCTCATCAAATTATTGAGCAGCTCTTTAGCTATGTCTCAAAAATTCTTAAAGACTTGGCAGACTTTGGCACAACTTTGTCTCAACTTAGCAACTTTCTCAGCAGCCTGGGTCAAGGCTATGCAGCCAGGACATGTGAGAGGTGGACTGTGGATTCTTGAAACATTGACAGCTGAAGTCTTCCTCCCACTTTACTACAAAGAGGGCTATAGACAGAAAAGATTATATTAAGGAGAATAACTATCGCAGTACAAATCTAGATACACCTGTCTTCGTTTTTGCCTCTAGAAATAGTAAAAGATTACTACTAATGCAAAACAAGGCACTACCCAAAAAAACTTGCATTTTTTTTGTCATATCAACCAGGATCACCCCTGAGATCTGTGTTATGGTCATGTATCAACCTCAAATCAGGCTCCACAACCATTACTTAACTCATAAGCCATAAAATTATATGTTTTGATTAAAAAGTGATAGCCATCATCATTTGGCTAATGGCAGAGTCTTCTAATTTCACTTCTGCAATAGAATAATGATGAGCAACTTACTGCTTTTGAATACACATGGCAATAGCAAGGCGTACATTTATTGTACTCATTATCATCCAGGAAACCTAACCAAATTCTCCTATATGAGCAAAGTACAAAAGTTTATAACACCACTATTAAACAACTTTGAAACCAATGTGTATGATGGATATAGGGCATAAAGAGATCATCACCTGACCACAGCTGGCCTCATGCCCAGAAAGCTTAGGACAGTCAGTGATACCAAGGTGTCATTGTGGCCAAAACTTGCCATGCTAAGGGAATAACTGCTTCCTCTTGTTATGGATTTTCATGCAGATCACCTGCTTTCTCTTGGTGCTGAACCTACTCTGCCCTATATACCTTTTATGTTGAGAGGCAGCAAGATGCTCAGCCACCTTTAGCATCAGACTTTTAGGAAACACTCTACTGTTTTTTTCTGATTGCTTTTTGAGGTGTCTTAGGTAAAAGTCTCTGCTACTACTGAAGGAAACTAGCTTAACACAAAATAAAGAGAATGACAAAGTGCTAAAACAGCTGCTTTGGGAAAAGTGAGACTTGATCTTAGTGTAGTGGTTCACACAAGGCATATTTGGACTTTCCCTCCACAAAAGACATGCTTGGACAATGCTTATAGATTTTGCCTTCACATACTATGTATCCCTACTTCTGAAACACACCTAGTTTTTCCAGTCTCCCAAATGAAAAAATAGCATTAATTTAGAATGAATAATCAGGGCACTAGAGATGAAGCCTGAAAAAGGTATCATTTCAGCCTGACAGAGAAAATGTATCACTGAGTATGATGTTAAAGGAATGTAAGGAACCTTATCTGTCCTGTTCTGGTTTCTTCTGTAAAATGATCCTAAACATATAACCAAATTATATCTGGATTAAGTCACTTGTATATGAAAATCTTCCCTCATGAGTTCAAATTAGGTAAGCTATTCACCTGCATATCCTTTCCTGCACCTCAGATTGTCAGATTTATTAAGCACTGGCTCTGGAGAGGAACAATTTGGAGCTTTTGAGTAGCACTTTAGTTTTGATAAAATGCAGAATTATTTTCAAGTCCTGCACTGTTATTCACATTACCATTAGGTAGCAGTAAAGGCAAAAATAACTCAGCGCATTAGTGTTGAGTCATAGCCTTTGACACCAATTTTTAAAAATTGAAACTAATATCAGTTCCTATTGCACCACTGTTATTTTAATGAATTACATTTTTTTCTCCTTCACATTTTGTATGTTGCTCGTCTTATTAAATTGTATATTTTCATGTTAGATATATTTATTTCTACAACAGGTATCACAAAGCATCTCTCTGTGGAGAGTCTTGTAAACTGCTTGGAGTGCTTGAGGAACTCATGCAAATATGAAACAGACCGACAGACAGCACTAGATAATGTGGGAAATTTAGAGTTCAAATATTCCTTCCCATTCCTGCTCATGTGCATCCATCCTGTTGTGTTTGTTTCTGTTCATGTCACTCTTGTCATTTCTCCTGAGGTGCCACAATCGGTCACACACACATGGTAACTAGGAGGAACCATCAATAGCATTTTGCTCAGCACCTAAACAGAATGTAGAGCTGGTTTTCAGTTAAGAAAGGATAACAGACCTGATATGCTACCATGATATTCACTATCTTTTTAATGCTAATTATCACAAGACCAGGGACCTAAAGACTAAGAAAAAAAAATCACAACAAACCAGAAAATAGTTGAGGGGGTTTTGTATTATTTTCTGAGTATTATAGCTTTATCTATTAAGATTGACCTCATAGTCAGACCTGAGGCTAAGTACTCAAATGGGAAGAAAGAGAACTCAGCATCAAAGTAACATACTGCAAAGCCACCAAAATTTTTGAAACTTTTTACAAGACTTCAGTGTACAAACATGCCTGTGAGGTTTAAATTACCACAGTGTAACCACAGTATATGTAGCTACATATTTGTAAAGTTTTCTTTGGTGCTATACCTATAAATCCTCATAAAGCCATTTGTGCAGGGGCAAAGGCCATTTCTGAAGGAGACTTTTATACTGTGTTACAGAAAATTCATGTTATATTGTCATAAAGTTT